GAGGTCATGAATTTGAGCTGTATCATTGCAATTGTAGATTTACATAATTCCTCGCCACTGACAACAAAAAATCACCACATTCTCTTGGGAAAGTAAACCAGTTAGTGAAGTACAAATAATGTCCAAGGAACTCATACCTTTCCACTTGATATTTTGGTAAGTTTTGCCCTTGTTTCCTAGTTTTTCATCTGCGTGTTTGTTTCGTTTCACTCATTGTTTCAGATGAACACTATGCCAACGACTCTTATTTGTTTGATGCTTTTTTCATGACTGCTGCCTTTTTACGTGAAATTATAAATAGAGGCAAAGCAGACAACAGGTGTAGTCTCTGGTTCCATACATTTAGTGGGCCTATGATTTCTGAAGATCTTACATGAGAATTGGCACTAGTATTGCTTGCAAACTCCTCTAGCGTGTCACCAAGTACCCTTTCAGAGGAGAGCAATGTGCTTACTAGTCGCATTTCCGTTGGCAGTTTATTCCACATCTGGGCATATTCACTTCTGTCAAGAATATTGACTGACGTAATAGCACAATAATATAAACTTCCAGTAATGCTTACGAGTTTACTCGTTAACGAATGTATTTATAGTGATATTTTGTATACATCCCGTGAACCCCCTTTCCCCTCTTTTAGCTACTCAGTGATTACTGTGACTTCAAGGGTTTCGTCACTGAAGAAAATGGCTTCCAGTATCGCTGATTTCGCCTTCTATGTTAAATCACAATACTGAATGCTAACTTTTGCTAGTGTTGTGGGCTACAGAGTTTGAGGGACTAAAGTCATTTCTTGTAGCAATTAGTACATTCAGAAGGGACAATAGCCTTTGAATTATGTTGTCGTCAATGTGCAGTCCACTTTTATTTCTGCGACAGATTCGTTAGCAGTAATTATCAACAGTACGTACATGTCGGAAGGATGGTATGTAACGAATAAACTACTACAGTGGCGAAAGGTTAGAACTATCTATTGGAGGTGAAACAGGTGCTTGCGTTAGAGGATATTGGTGCTTCTAAAGTTAGGACATCAAGAAAGTGATAAAGTTATTCACATCGTTTACGTGTGAACAGTTAAGGATATACATTTAAAAGTAATAGTAACTTGTTAGTAGTTTGGGAATCATATGATTAATAGGAACAAAGGTGGGAGACCAAAAGTCAATACATGGATAAGCGAAATCACCTGACCAGCGTATTCATATCTTGAAGTAAAACAAAATCGGACAAACTATTTCGATGAAAAGAGCAAAGCAGTATCTAAATAATGATAATAATATGTATTTATTCCTATCTATGTAGGACAAACCGATTGCGCAGGCATGGATAAGTATTATTTAAATTACATAAATTTGGTTTATGGTGAATTTGCATGGTTGTGTCCATTTTGTTTTTAGCTTCTCGGAGCAGTCTGTTAACCAGTCGTTCAATGAAGAACATTAAGAAATGTTGAAACGCTCTCTTTGCATTAACAAAAAAACCTAAGTATGTGTTGGATGGACTACAAATACTTGGGAAAAAAATAAAGCTTGAAGTGATTTCCCCATATAACTTTGGTGTGTACGGCATTGGATCTTATTCTTGATTTATATCCAAATCAGGCAATAATCTAAAGTCTGTGATATGTTTGTACAAGCTTGTCAGCATTTCCATCGTGAGTAATACCAGAAGTGAATTGTACTCTGAGAAACAATTGAAGTCACTTACTCATATATTATCCCCCAAGGTTTGGCTAGTAATGGCTCAGCATCCTTGATGAAATCCACTCTCACCATAACAAGACGCTGTACAGCATCTTATACAAGCACTGTCAACGATCTAAAATGGTTTTTATATAGCTTTCTACGCGTTAATCAACTTACTCGTACGGAGCAACCATGCTGTGACAAATGGCGGGCTATGGGTGACTTGAGTGCAGTAAAACAAATCTGCTTGAAATTGACCAATATTAATCTGCATTCAGTTGAACTCACATCTGGTATTACTTGCAAAAAAATGATGTCAAAATCATAAAAATTAATCACTCATTTTAAATTAATACCCAATTTGAACATACAACAAGATACGATGCCGCACACAACAAAGTTATATGGAGGAATTGACTTCAAGCTTTATTTTTTTCCCAAATATTTGTAATTTATCCGACACATACTTGGGTTTTTTTGTTAATGCGAAGACAATATTTCGATATTTCTCTATGTGCTCCGTTGAACGACTAATTATCAGAATGTGCTCACTAACTGATGTCAGAGAGGAGAGCAACCATGTAATTTCACTATAAATCAAATTCATGTAATTTAAATAACACTTATCCATGCCTGTACAACTGGTGTGTCCTACATTGATAGGAAAAATATATATTATCTCTACTCGATGCAGATTGATATCGGTCATTGTCAGGCAGATTTGTTTTACTGCGTCGGGGCATATAAAAGATATAACTTGTCATTAAAGCACAGTAGCAGCAGACAAACGCACTACAAATAGCGGGGATATGCAATAAAGCCACTCAGTAACCATGGGACCATATAGCAGAAACAGAGAAACGTGACGCAACAATCTATGTCCGCTGTGAATGAGAAGCGAGGAGGAGCTGATTCAAACGTTGATTAGCCACGACTCCAGAACCATGCAGCAGTGACCGAACTCTTGGAGTCATCCTGGTGTTGCCCGTCTGTAAACAGTACTAGTTAGTGGTCAGGAGTGTCTACTGATCACTAACATGCTAGGTGAAAAAAAACTAATGGTTGGGTCAGTCGTCATGACCTAGACTACTGTATGCGGCCAGGTCATGGTTACTCGTAACTCTAGTATGCCATCATTGCGTATCTTGCAGTTTTTGATAGAGACCTGGATAATGTCACAAAAGCTGGAATCTATGCGACCACCAGCAAAGATAGGAGGTAGCACCCAACCAAAAACCCCCTCCTCTAGGTTAGATCATAAAAGGCAACCATCTGCTTATACAGATCATGCGTCTAGGACCACCGATAGGCAACATATACCACGCAGTACCGTTGTATAGCTTAGTTGTCAGGGAGAAGTTGGCTAGGGATAATTATTTTGATCAAGTCTGTAGTGGTTAAGCCAACTATGCGATAATGACTAGGGTTAAGGAGTCGGCACTTTGACCGAAAGATTAACATTATCTAAAGGTAGACGAGTGATACAAATAAGTGAAAGGAGCAACTAGAGGACCTTCGATGACTTCTACCTTCGATTGTCATTCTAGAAAACCAGGTAGTTACGCTGCTCTAGCGAACTCGAGCTCGTTTCGGATTAGTTTCAAGGATCTATAACGCTTACGATTGTCATGTAGCCATCTATCCTTCTAGACCTGCATTTTGACCACACCCCCTCGCTTGCCTAACCTGGTGGTCAGGCTGTTCACAATACCGCTACAACTAGTGAAGGGGGAATCTAATACTAACAGCTATTCAAAGATGTGTTTGTTGACGATGGTATGAAGAGTGTACAGAGATACGCAAACACACCACAACGCAGTGGTCACGCTCCTGTTCCTAATATTAGGTAATATAGACAGTCCCATATTAGTTTGTTTATTAGATGTATCACACAGTGAAACAGTATTATTTACTGGATGACGTTTCGAAAAAAATTTATTGTTCATAATCATTTCATCAAATATAATCATACGATTTCGAAACTTGAGTTTTATAGTTTTATATAAAACTATAATTGACACGGTTATGAACAACAAACTATGTTCAAAACGTCATCCAGTAAATAATACTGTTTCACTGTGTGATACATCTAGTGAACAAACTAATATGAAATTAATTACTATCACAGTGCCCAAATTGTACACATATATTAATATAGACAGTCAGGGATCAAACACGCTACTGCTATCTGTAGATGTAAAGCAGAACACACAGTTCTCGGGACACTCTATCAGTAATAATAACAAAAATCCCGATGCGAGGGGAACACTCAGGCTCACACGACGAAAGAGCTAGACCACTCTGCATCACCGGATTTCCCCCTTTAAACTTGTGAATCTCCTTCCCAGACCTGGGTTACTGCATCCTTGAAAAGCAAGTTGTCCTCACTCTGGTACACTCAGCACAGATGAACAAACTGAGCGAAATGGCTGAGATTCAGTTGTGGTGACGAGTCCACTGAGTGAAAAGAGGCAGGAGGAAAGGACATGAGACGGCTTGGGACACTCAGATGGGATCACACAGAGTAATTTACAGCAAAGAATCGGTGTTTTCCTGAGGTTAGAACTGGCAAGACAACATTACAGGTGAACATATTTAGGGAACTGGAAACCAACCCGAAGAATATGTGCCAATTCAAAAGGCTTAGGAGAAAAAAAGTAGTCACGGAGTATGTTTACTTAGAAATCCGGGAGGGAAACTTCCTGGTAATCTAATAATGAGTGTAGCTTTCATTTTCTCATTCGGAAGACAGGTGGGCAACGAGCTAACGAAGTTTCATCCGGAAAAATTTCCAGTAGGCAACTTTATCAGACAAGTGGTTCTCAAGCAGTGTGCTGAAGCTCTGCATGTTACGCTAAGTAAGCTGTTTGAACACATAAGATGGATTTCAACTGCCTACGGACTGTAAGCTGACGATCCCATCAACTATTTAAAAGAGAGAGAGACTGATAAGGACCAAAGTGATACAGATCAATATCTTTACTGTTAGTATTATCAGAGACTATAAAAAGGTTGCTGGATGATTAAACAAGGGAACACCTGAACCATAACGGAAGCTTATAGGAGGACAGTCATGGATTCAAGAAGACAATGTCCTACACTACCAATCTACTGGCAGCTTGAAATAACTGGACGGCGTTTTGTGACGATATATCCCCCTCCTTCTATCACAGGCCTTGCAGAAGCACTTGGCTGTTCACTTCATGAATTTAAACTGCAGGAAGTGCCGAAAATGGGAGTCGGCAACTACTGACTTCGAAGCGAACTCCAAGAAATCACGAAGTTCGCACAACCTTGACAGAAAGTTATTCGATATCAGCATCGGCCTTCAAATGGTTGGAGCGTAGTTTAAATCAATGTCTACAAGGGTTTCATTAAGACAAAAGTTGGTCAGTCATTTAGAGGATGCTGACTCTATTTTAAGGTTAGTTCTTTCAAAATTGTCATTTCCTTAAATACATTAGGGATATAGTTGCTGTGGCTACTAGAAAGAGACCATCTGTCACACTTCTTCCCTTGATCGAATTGTTATTGGAAAAAGATCAACAGTTGAAAGAAACTTACCGAGAAAGTACTTGAAATATTTTCATTTTGTTTTATTCTATTCACTGACACCTAGTTGAGATCTACAACGAGAAACAGAAGAAAATTGACTTACTGAGAGCAGATTGTTCAAAATCTGACAAGCAAATTCAGGAATGTCAAACCCAATTGAAAAAAGCCGAAGTCATTCTGGTTTGTTTATCTCTCTTAGTTTATATATTATATACAGAGTACTGCGTTATATTACTCCCGACAGAAGTTAGATTCAATGAGTAATGCTGTTAAAAACCCTATTGATGTGGAAGAGCTTATCAGATTTTCGCACAGAATAAGTGCTACTCATGGCGTAATCGCTCCGGATAACTGGACTCAGGGAGATCCCAGGCGGCCATACCCTAACAAGGAAGAGATCCGAAGGGGCTACCTAGGACATATTGATGATGCTGGCAACTTTCGACAGTCTCTGTGGGACGCTTTGTCAGAAACTGCAGCAGCTGCCGCCTCCATCTCTGTCTCTTCCACACCATCTACCTCCAGTAATTCAGGTGCAAACAACTCTTCCAGCCAGAATGTCGGGTTATCACAAACACCTGTATATCACTCAAATCAACCCCAGTCCTCAGTATTACCTTCAGGTAAGTTTACCGGCTAGTTTTTCAGTTAGGTCATCACTCTAAGTTTCAGAATCTATATATTTTATTATCTTGAACCTTGGTTTTTGAGTTGTTTGGATTTAGTGTAGACTAGTGCTGGATTCGTCACTGAGAAATATGGATGTTATGCAGTGTTAGTTTTTGCGTTCTTAATTAAATTATATCTTAGTTTTATCTATGATTAGAGAAAATAGGGAATTCTGTTTTGCATGTATCGACTGTAAAGTAAACTCTAAGTGTTAATGTAACTTGGACGAAAGATATTTGCCAGCTTGAAACTAATGAACAGGAAGATTTAATCATTGCCGTATTCTGTAGTTGCACCACTTGACGTTATCAGGTAATTTCTCTCTGTAGGTGTGAAAAGTGATACATATTTTTCTTCTAAGTTTTCGTCTGGTTGGTAGCGTCTGTTCTATATGCCTTGAATAGAAAACTGCAATTTGAGAGTCCTTGTCAAATATATCCGGTGAAAATAGGCTTGCCCCAGTCCTAACAGATACACTACTGTTCGGTATAAGAATTCCAATACTTTTATACAAATCATTTCCGTCTTGACCGATAGCACACAATTATTGGGAGAAGTGTTAGTTTTCTTCTATTCTGTTGCCGTTGCGAATATGTAAACCAGCCTGATCATTGAGAAGCTCCACTTCCTTTTATGATTATATATATATATATATATATGACAGGTCTTAACCCACATCTAATGCATAATAGCTTAATGATTTTTCCTTTTCGTTGACGAAGTCATGCGGGATAGGAAATGTTTATTGGACGTTTTAGTAGATAGCTATGAACGCAGTGTAGTACACTGTAGTTATTTACATGTTTTGAGCAGTTACATTGACATTTTTAATTTAACAGCTAAAATGAGCAGTAGTGAAGGTTTTGGTTGCTATGCTATGCATCACTTTCTAACACATTAGTTAATGAATTAAAAAATGTTGACTAAGCGGAAAAATGTGGAAGCTGATATAATTTGCTTTCACAATGATTTCACTTAACATCCTTTTTATTATAGAAGATTTTATAATAATTCACAATACTTAGTTTTCTACCTACTTTGCAATGTTTTAGTTACTTGTTCTCCGAATATGATCTTACCTGGCGTCAACATGGTTTCTTCACCGATCTCTATATCACAAGCTGGTACTTCAGCTACATGGGCCGCTTCAAATGTCAATCCTGTTGCAGGGACCTCAGATCTAACTGCCCCTCAAGCACCATCCTCCCGTCCACCTTCAACTTCACTAGCTGCTATGTTGACGGGTGCAAACGTGATGGAGCCACATTCCCGTAATATGACACTCCCTCCGCCTCCTCTCAAACCTGTAAGCAATCAAGCACAAGCAAGTCAACCAGTATCTTTCCGGCCAAACGGTGCTCCGCCCCGACAACCCAGCACCAACACTGGAATTCGACAAACATTCCCTACATCCCCAGCTTCTTCCGGATCACAACAAATGCATTACTCACATGGTGATACACATCCAGGTTCTATGCAGGGTACCAAGCTATCTCGACCGCACACTAAACGTCCTCATCAGAAACGCCCAGGAACAGAATATAGTGAACTTTCATCCAATTCCTCAAGTGATTCTACTAGTGGTGAAGAATGATTTAACTTAGATGCCTTAATAAAAAATGTAAATACATGAAGTGTGCTTATGTCCTATTTGGTTTATAAAGAATTTGACAGATTCAGAGTGTTGCACGTAAATATTTGAAACGTAATTAACGTTGCTGTTGTTTATTGTTATAATATCATGTATGTGTAATTTAGTGAAGTTAGTGCACTGATTTAAGAAGCATGCTCTGAAGTAAATGAAGCAACAAACCATGTACAGAGGTATATAGTTTCTTTATTCATCAATGTAGTGAGGGCTATGAAAGTCTGACTATGAATTCGTACACTTTGTAAGCTTGAATAGAGCAAGGAAAACAGTTTGGGTAAGACCTTAATTACTTTATTTTGATGGTGTTTCCAATTGGTTACAAATTTAGACAGTTTCCATGTAAAAAAATGTCCAGGTTATTTTGATTTTAGAAAATAACATTAATTTTACATAACTGTTAACACTAAAAGAACCAAGCAATGAGAATTAATAACACAGTTGACTAAATGAAAATTCTACAAATAAAAAACAAAGAGCGGAAAGTCAAAGAAATTAATTGTTATTCTATTTAAATTATTGGTCTTGTTTCTATTCAAACTAGTCTTATCAAATGAACAAGCGGCTTTTCAGATTTACAAAAGATGACTATTTTAAATTTCAGTGGCAGTGAAATAGCAACACCTCCTAAATCGAAACCGAGATTATCTTTAAATTTCATACAAACTAGATCCGAAAATGCTTTTTTCCAGGAACTGATCTTAGTCACACCATGGATATCACGTAGTTGGCTAATAAATTCTCCACAACAGAATCAGTTAGAAGTAGTTTTTCATTATAGAAGCAGCTTAACCCAAAAAATAGTTTTATCTTAGTTTTGGAAACAATATCAGAAAACACCTCCAGTCATTCAAAACAAGGGGAAATTTTTGTGAATAAGCTACAACAGACATGATTGAATTTCGTAGTCGGTCAGATAGACTTTTTCTACCAAGTACGCGTGTATGTCTTATGAGAAATCTTATCAATGATATGCATCCTAGCATGAAATCTTCAGTGGAGGTACAAACATTGTTCTTGGTGTTCAACATGACAATGACGGTTAAATTCTAAGATAGATACGCTGAGTGAACTTTATGTGAATTGAAAAAAAGCTTCGGTCCTATGAGCTACAAAAAAGGTGTATTAAAACACTGTTCAACTGTGCGAGAAAGCTCTTCCCAAAGATGAATCTTAAAGAGCTATCCGTTGACGTGAATGCCATCAAAAGGTCTGAATGAAACCCATGTTTAAAAAAGGGGATAACTGTGAATCTTGCATTGCCCTGATGACTATATCTCATTAAAACGGTCCTGTGTCATGTAATCTTCTATACCTTCTGAAAGTTGGCCATCTTACGCCTGTAGAATACTTTTCAGAGTTGCGCACTCTGTCACACTAATACACCGTTTCTTGTTTCCACTCATTATTTGATCTCCTTTATTTCAAGAACATGCACCTAATTTCTTAACCTTCAATAATTTCATCTACTCTTTTCAACAGGCAAAAAGAAAACAAGCCTGTTTTCGTGACAGTACAATACTGAATGATTATTTATTTCGCATCCCCATTATGTTTGAATCTTCGTAAGTACGCAAATGTTATTTGGCTGCAAAAGTATAAGTAAATCACTACTTTTAGTGCGTGTTTAAAGTGTAGTGGTGTGATTTATCTGATTCATTAACGAGAAGATCACCGACAGTAATATTTTCTGGAGTGGAAATCTACTATTTTTGGATATTTAGAAACGATTAAGTGAAAGTCTAGTAAAGTATACGGCTTCATGACGTGACGACGATCGTAACTACTATGTTATTCTGCTAAGGCACCTTTGCTGAGAGTAGACATTAGAAGGGATACGCACCTCTCACACGTCATCATAATTAGAAATTATTAAACTAATGGAATTAACATTTGAACAACAACAACAACTGAATTATATACATTTCTTGTCATAGATAAGATTAGATTACCTTTCAATAAAATGTATTTATAAGTATTTATATATGTTGAAAAAAGTGAAGAGATGATATTGCAATTTAGTCGAAATTTTGATGCATCGAAATGTGCGAAAAGAAAAGGAACAAACAAATAAAGAAAAAAAAAGAAATCAAAATCAAAGAAAGCTCCAGTAGACAAACATGAAAACTGTTCAATCACAGCCGATAAAAATGAAGGTGGTTTTCTCTCTTTTTTTGTCTTTCTAGAAAAATGACTTAGGTGAAATTGATCATTGTTGAGGCATGAAGAATACCGGTGTATCATTTGAAGTATAATTTGGTTTCGGTGGATCTGTCAAAGAGGCAGAAGTAATCACAGTTTTATTCACGGGATTTTGTTGATCATCACCTTGAGAGGTGTTGTAGCTCATCTGTCTTCTAACATTGGTAGTTGGATGAACCATTTCAGGGGTATAATAGTCCATGGGTAATTTAATTGAAGATCGTGGAGAAGATTCCTCTTCCAAAAATGCTAGTAGAAGTTCTGTGAAACTCTGAAATTGAGCAAAACAGATGTTGCGTTATAAATTACAGGTGTAAGCAGATTATTAATAAAGAAAATATAGTTGGGTAAAATACAGTGTTTGAATTCAGTGCTCTATCAACTAATATGAGACTGTTACGATGACGATCTCACAATGTCTGACTAGGCTATTATAAAAAGTGCGAATAAACGCTGAAGTGGAAATGACTATATTATCAGGTATTTGCTGCATTAAATTCTCAAACAATCATACTAAATTAACGTCTTACATGATAACACGACAGTGACACCCTTAGATCAGTGGGTAACTTCACTGGATGTAGCGTAGTAATCTAAACACTCAACTAGCAATCAATAGGGTTTTAACCTCTGAGAAGTTATTCCCTTCAACTGAGAGCAGAATTTTGTACTTTTCAAAGACTAGTATACTAAGGTTGACTTAATTGCAAAATACGGTTATAATATTCAATTATGATTCTTGTGTATTACAAAACCATTGGTAGAGTTCCATTGATTACTTGAGAGCATCTTTTTACAACTTGTACCTGATGTTCTGTTACCTAAAAATTTGAAAGTGATCAGATTGTAAATACTCACTTATACTCTAAATGAAAACTGTATTTGCCGAATACCTGGGTTCTATTATATTGATAAAAAAGGTTATTTTGTAACTGTAAGAACCTGAAGAGAATTTAGCGCTAAGCATATTCTTCGTTAACAACAACTTTTTATCAAACACCAGGTTGTAGAACTATCGACAATAATCTCAGTGTAGTATTTCGATCGTATATGAGTGGGGGTAGTGATTACGTTAGAAACAACTATATCAGTTGCTGTAGAATGGGCAGCAGATCTAGGACCTACAAAAGGTAGTTACCAATCAATCCAAATGTCAAAGTTGCATTCAGGTGCGAGACTAATGCTTAACACCATCTCTGGAGTAGATGTGATATTATGCTATCGATCAAAGGACGTGTGTATTGCGCAGCAGTTCGCTCCGGTCCCCTTTATAACTGCGAGACATGGCCATCGAAAGTGGAACATATGCAAAGACTGACTGTCTCCGATGATATGTGTCTGCGTTCTATTTCTTCTGCTAACTGGTATGATGGAGTGAGCAATATTGACGTTAGGCATAGATTGCTAAGTAAGGAGGGAAAGTCAATCGATAAGGTTGTGAAGCTACATAGATTGAGACATCTAAGACATGTGCTTAGCCCTCGCCTTTACCGACGGGCACTGTTAGCTGATATACGATCAGGTTGGAAAGGAGCTAGTGGTGGTCAAACTGAAACATGGAATCAGGTTATGAAGTCTTTGACAATTAGTTTGAGCCAAGTAGGGCGATGTAGACTATCTGGTTGGGGTTCTCGAGATTCTAAGAGCCAATGGTCGGAGAAAATTGGTGATATTGCTCAAAGCTGTTCTCAATGGCGCAGATTCATTCATTCTTTGTGATATGATATATCTATTAAACCGTAGTGTGTTCTATGTTACTATCCTTTCTCCTTCACATTTCTCCTTGTTAAATTTTTTCTGAGTAGCGGTGGTTTTTCTTTTTTTCTCTACCTTTGTATGCTCCACATGGGATGTGGCAACTTGAAATGCTGCACTTCTGTGCAAAGTTTTGGTGTTGAAAGCAGTCAGTCAGCTAAACTAAAGCCTACATGGAATGGACAATACCTACATTTTAATAGTTTTTGTTCAAATAGCTTCAAGCGAGCACTATACAAGTCTCTCTACTACAGAGTTAGGAGAATATGCGCTACAGAGAAATCAGAGGAAGAATTTATGATTCTCGAAAAGATGTTGAAAAACAACGGTTACCCTCGAAGGTTCATTAACGAATATGGAAGAAGTCAAGGCTCAAATATCACACAAATAACAGTGGAAAAAAAGCCTGTCTTCATTCAACTTGATTTTTAAGGTGAAAATATTGCAGCCGTAGTCAAGAGAAGACTGAGTATATCACTAGCCAGAGCCTATCCTGCAGCTAAGTTGGTTCCCGTCTGTCGGACAACATGCTCTTTGGTGCAGTTAAAAGTCGACAAATACTGTTCTCGTGTTAACTCCAACTGTGTATACAAATTTACGTGTATCTGCGGGAGCACTTACATTGGGAGAACAGAAAGAAGGGCATATCTCCAATTTTCTCAACGTGTACCGAAAAGCCCACGTCTCAAGAGAACAAACTCTTATGATAGTGTCATTACCAGACATCTCCTTGTTACGAGTCATGAGGTGGAAATCGCAAATTCCTTTAAATTCATCAATAGACAAAAAAGCTCAATTCTCCTCGAGTTTGCCGAATTAATCTTTATCGAACCCCTGGAGCCCGATTTATGAGTTCAGAAAGAAGCGGTTATCAGTCTTTCCTTGCCCGTCCTAGTAACAACTGGGTGTCTTTATTCTCTCTTTCATTCGATTACGTAATCTTTGGCTTTAACGTTACCCACCCACTTTGATATAGTGTAATGTTGCTTGTCTCTTGTTTCTATGGTTTGAGTTGAACTCTGTACATTATCACCCAGTTTATTAGTTACTCAGCATATTACGTAACTCCTTTGCCATTGTATGCATATATTTACTTTGTTTGAACTTGAACTGCCTGTGTAAAAACTATATAAGCGTAATTTTCTGAGCACTGTCCACAAAGTTCAGAACCTCCGGTCAACTGACATCATGTAAAGTTTGTAAGTATGTTAAACCTTTTC